TTTACACTCACTGTTGTTCATAAATTGACTTATCAGTGGGTTGATTTCACCCCAGCCAGCCTTTTTGCAGGGGGATGTTGGGGAGGAGAGAAGCTGTTTTGCAAAGTTGCTTTGATTGCTTTTTTGTTTCAACTCATTGTGCCTGGTGCTGCTGCTGTTGGTTTATGGAAAATGCTTCAGAAGAAAATTGCTGTAATGATAGAATACCCTTAGGAAAAGGTTCTTGTAGTGGCTTTTCATGGGAATTTACAGGTATGTTTAAAGGCTGCTGGATTCTGGGTGGTTAAAAGCTTTCTGAGTGTGTAACCTTGTAGTCATGACTAGTGGCTGAACTCTGGGCAGAGCCTGCAGTGATCCTGTTAGTAATCCAAGGGGTTTAGTGCTGGATGCCTGTGTGAGGGGGGGGACCCTTTGGCAGATGGTCAAGAAGGCAAGAGAGATGGGGTCTGTAGGAAAGCAGGGTCTGGGTGATGAAGGAGAAGGGAAAGGAGGAGTTTGTGGGCACATCTGTTCTTGTTGTAAACACAGTGAAAGTTGATTTGGAGCTGGGAAAAGTTGATTCTGGGTCCGTGGTTCAAAGGTGCAATAAACTTGGGTTTGTGTTTGTGCTGCTGGATGGAGGAAACCTGAGCTGGAGGGGGAAGCAGTGGCCCTGCATAAATTCACTGCCACTTGGAGTACTTTTCCAAAGCTTTGACTTCATGCCAAGGAGCCATGTGCAGGGTCAGGCAGTGTCTCTCCTCCGTGCAGCCCATCCTTAGAGCCAGCAAGAAGGCATCAGCTTTTATACACCCTCCCCCCCCATTTTAGGGCACTGGCTAGTTCTGCAGAGTTGTGGGACTATGTTCACAGCTCAGATGAGTTGTTGTCAATAGATGATCTAGGGAATAAAAAACCCACACTAGTCCTTGTGGTCACGGGACGTTGGCTTGAGAATAAAATCGTTCTGTTGACACATGGACAAGGTAAGGGAGGAAAATAGTAAAAGAAGGTGCTAATACTACTTTTTCCTCACATCCCACCTTTTTCAAGCTACTTGTACAAAGGCTGATGTCATGGAATGGTTTGGATGGGAAGGGACCTCAAAGAGCATGGGCAGGGACACCTCCCACCAGCCCAGGTTGCTCCAAGCCCCATCCAACCTGCCGAGAATAAAATCGTTCTGTTGACACATGGACAAGGTAAGGGAGGAAAATAGTAAAAGAAGGTGCTAATACTACTTTTTCCTCACATCCCACCTTTTTCAAGCTACTTGTACAAAGGCTGATGTCATGGAATGTTTTGGATGGGAAGGGACCTCAAAGAGCATGGGCAGGGACACCTCCCACCAGCCCAGGCTGCTCCAAGCCCCATCCAACCTGCCCTTCAACACTGCCAGGGATGGGGCAGCCACAGCTTCTCTGGGCAACCTGGGCCAGGCTCTCACCACCCTCACAGCAAATAATTTCTTCTTAATCTCCAACCTAAATCTCCCCTGTTTCAGTTCCCCCTTCATCCCCTCCCTCTCTGCCCTTGTCCCAAGTCCTTCCCCAGCTTTCCTGGAGCCCCTTCAGGCACTGGAAGGTGCTCTAAGATCTCCCCAAAGCCTTCTTTTCTCCAGGCTGAACACCCCAAAACACCCTTCCCTGTCACCTGTCCTCTTGCAGTAAAACCCAGGAAGCTCAAGTTCTCATAGGACTTTTATTGCTGAATTGAGGGCCTACAATGTGCATCTATTTTAAAGAAATTTCTGATTTAATTTTCTCTTCTGCCATAGCTTTCATGCAGGTGCTGCAGCAAGTGCTACCAGCCACCTGTGTGGTGTAAGTTACATAGATGCACCAAGGTGAAAGTCATCTGAGTCACCTGCCATAATGCCAGGACAGGTTCATTTCCTTGCTCTAGGTGCTACAGCAAGGGAGACAATAGTAATTAGAGCAGTCTCTTATAAAAGCAATTTAAGCTTGGAAGGGTGCTTTAATCAGCAGTAATGAGGTCAGGGAGGAAAAAAGCCTGACCCTCACCACATGTTTTGGGTTGTTCAGTGGGGAAAAATTTTATGTCAGTGCAGAGGCAGAGAATTGACTGAGTCCCTGTCCCTCTTGGTTGCAGAGGCTGTTCTTTGGTCTGGGAAGCATGGAGGGTGCAGGGAAATTAGCAGCTGCCCAGGAAAGTGCTGCTTTGGCACTACTGCATTTAAAATAAGAGGGAAGGAAGCCCATGTGGGGCTTGCTTTGGCAGGAGGGAATGGGGAGACACCAGGGATGAGTGAAAACTTTGAGGCTCTTGGAGAGCAGGTCCCCTGAGAGGAGGCAGTGAGCTATGCTGGGCCTTGTGTGACAGGGAGATGTTCAGAGGGAAGGCTGGATTGAGATGAAACAGCAATGTTAATGGTGGTTTTTAGATATTAGACCATCTCTCCTAGCAGGTGGCATGCCCTACAGAACCTGGGGCTGGGTAGGTTAAGGTCCTTAGTAGGGAGCTTGAGCTTGGCTATGTTGGTGTTTCAGTGCAGATACACAGGTGTCCATGGGCAGCAAAGACCAACTTTGGAGCTTCTGGAAAATGGCACAGGAGGAGAGGTTCAGCTTGTGTGGGGAAACACATCATCCCAGAGCTGTGAAGGCTCTGGAGGGATCAGCCCTGCTGGGCTGGGCTGAGCTGGGGTACCATGACCTCCATGGTGTGGGTGCTGCTGGGAGCCAGGGACCAAGAACAGCTGCTGTTTGGGTGCCATTAATATATATATTGGTCCTTGCAAGATGTCCAGCTCTGGGTTAGTTTCAAATTATTGTGAAAATTGAGCCACTAAGAATGTAGAAAATAGAGGGAAAATGTTGCAGTGTTTTTTGCAGACTGATTTTTTTGTGTGAGTTTAGTTTTTACTTAAACTTCCAAAATACGTGTCCAAACATTCAAAAGAAGTTAGTGGCTTCTGTGTTCCTGAGTGTCTAGTTCTGACTTCCCTTGGATGAGGAAGGATGTCAGTCTTGTGTGTATTTTTAACCTCCTTATGGGTAATGAAAGTGTTTTTACAGGCTTCAGTTATTTTGAAAACTCTGGGTACTGGAACACTCTTTAAAGTTTCAGCGTGTTTCTCCCTGGGTTTGCTGGGCTGTTTCTTTGAATCACATTCAAAATTCTCCTGCATTGATGGGGCTTGGTTTGACCTGGAAACTTTGTTCTTATGATTTAGTACTTTTTTTTTCAGCTATGTGTTTGGGATTTGGTTTTTTGTTTGGTTTTTTGTTATTGTGATTATTTTTTTTCCCCAGTTCTGTGTCTTTACACCAAAAAAAAGGTATTATTTGGACGCAGGATTTTAGCTCAGGTTCAGTATTCTGTCAAGGAGAGTAGATAAAATACTTGGAATCATTGTCATAATTTCATGTCTTGAACCTGACATAAGCACTAAAGCAAAGCTCCTTCTGTGCTGAACTCAGCATCTCCATAAAATAAAGTGTAGGGGAAAAGCACTTGGGGTTGGTGGAATTTTGAATGTTCAGTCTGATACACTGAAGAGGATAAAGAACCACAGGACAGATGGTATTGTACTTCTCTTGCCAAGTTCAGCCAGCCATCAGGAGACAGGATTAGGTATCTTTTGCCAAAAAAACAGATATTCTTTTCTAATACAGGCTTATAAAAAAATGGAATTTGGATTACACTCATGTGGTGATTATATGTCTATTAATGAGGAAGAAAATGGAAAACAAGAGTGCTCCTGAGATCCTGTAAAAGGCTTCGTGGTGAAATATAAACCCAAACCAGCCCAGTCATGGTAATAAAAACAATAAAGGGTATGTGGAAATGAGGGCAGTAAAAAGTTTGAATGAATTTAATTTTGCAAATCATGGTGCTGTTAAGAAAAAGAAATGTAAATGGGAACTGAAAGGCTGGGAGAGAACGTGAGGGGAAAATGAGGAAGGGGACTTGGAGTCTGGCTGATAAACTTGCTCTTACTGGTGATGACAAAGCCTTGCTGTCTCTCCAAGCTGATGATGTGCCATTACAGCAATCAGGCATGAACAATATTTAGCATCCAGCAACTGTTGTTAATTTTTCATATTCCTGGGTATTTCTGACAGGCTTTTTGCTGGAGGCAGGAAATTGTTCATTAATCAGAAATGTGCAGTTGAAGCTGAACCTGTTGGGTTTGGAGGGGAGGATGTGTTGGCTGTGCTGCTGAGGAGCTGCTTGTGACTGCTCAGGACATAGGCTGGAGGCTGTTTTGGTCCTTGGCTCCTGGGGACACTTGGTGTGAGTTGCCTCAGCCAAGCTTTTGCAGGATGCAGCTCCTGTTGTGTGCCAGGCTTCCAGCAGAACATCCCACTTGGAACGACACTGCTGCTGGTACCAGTGGGCTGGGGAGGCTGTTGTGGACACACACCCTGTCCCTGTGGTAAGGGAAAGCAGCCCAGGAGTTCAGAGCTGGACTCTGGAGGTGCCTCAAGAGAAGGTCTGGGCTAACACAAGCAGTTACCTTTTCCTCAAATGGCTTGGGAGGAGTCATAAGTTCTTGGACATATGGATCAAAATGTTTGGACTCCAAGTTTTAGGGGCAGGATGTTGAACTTGCTTTTATACTTTAGTAGGAATGAGCTCTGTTCTTTGTTTTATGAAGCAAGCCCATGGGGCAGTACAGCCCTCCAACCCTGTTTCATCTGTTTGTCCTGAAGTGCCAGCTGCCATGACCCCTGGTGTCTGCCTCCTGCCACTAGTGACTCCCTGAAGTTCACCAGGGTTCACCCTTGGCCATGTTAGGTTTAACCTAGATGTGTATTAAGGACCTGGTGTCCTCCTAGCTCTGTGGTCTTGTCTGATCTCATTGGAAGGAAGTAGTTACTTCATGTCTCCTAAATGCAGAAACTGTTGCTTTAATGGTGTTTTGCAAGCTTTGTATTTTTTTGGTAAATGAAATGTATTTGGGTTGTTTTGAACTGGCCACCAGGGTGCTGCTCCTCCCTCTGTTCCTGTGGGACTGGACAGCACTGGAGGCCACACACACCAGTTCATCCTACCTGTGGCACTGCTCGTGTTGTCAGTGTGGTCGTTTGTGTTGTCCATGCCATAGCTGTTGTTGCTGGAGCAACATGAGGAGTGGATGTCTCCAGAGAAGTCCTCCCAGGCTGCAGGAAGCAAGGCCAGTCTGGGCTGGGTTGGGATTCAAAAACACTTCAGGTATCTAGTTGTGCTTTTGCAGACTTTCTCATCGTCTTCCCTGCTGCAGAGCCCTTGTCTTGCTTGACTCTCCCCAGCCAGGGGCTGTTGGGTGCCTCTGGCCATCCTTGCTGTCTGGACCTGGTCTTGCAACTGCCCTGGGCTGTGAAAGAGATCACAGAATCCTTCTGGTTGGAAAAGACCTTTAAGATTGAGTTTCAACCATTAACCCAACTCTGAGTCCAGTGCTAAACCAAAGGGCATTTCCTCTTGTGCCATCACTTGTTCCTTGGAGCACAGACCAACCCCCCTGGCTCCAACCTCCTCTCAGCAGCTGCAGAGCCAGCAGGTCTCCCCTCACCTCCTTGTCTCCAGGTTGGACACCCCCAGCTCCCTCAGCTGCTCCTCCTCACACTTGTGCTCCAAAAGATGCAGTGGGTGAATACTAAATTTACTCTCTGTCCTTTCCCAGTTTCCCTGCTCCAAGCTCCATCCCAGCCCAGGGCAAAGCCTGGCCCCTGGCTCCTGCTCCCAGCCCAGCTGCTCTGTGTCCAGCCTTGAGCTGGGCTGGCTGGAGCAGCTTCCAGTCATCAACTGGGTAAATGTCTCCTCTCTTTGTTTGCCTTCTGAACCCCTCCTTATCTGTACATTGTGTATCAGCAGATAAAGTTACTTAAAGATGGGTTAATGAGATGTGGCCCAGAATGTTCCAAAATGCAGCCTCCAAACCTCTATTGCTAATTAGGCACTGGAGCCACTAATCTAATTTTAGCCAGTGACTGAGTTTATTCCTGGCGGAATAAAATGCACTTTAAATCTCATTTAAAAGCTACTGTGAGATGCTCTTGACAAATTAAAATATGAAATTAAAAATATATTTAGTTTGTTTCTGCATCATTAAAATAATCCTCAGTGCAGATGAATCAAACCCTGTGCCTTTGCAGCTCTGTTTTGAAGGCTGTTGACTGCTGAAATGATGAGCTAAGCCCTGCTGCCCTCTCCACCCCTTGGAAAATGAGCTGCTGTGCACCCACAGGTGCTGCAGCCACTGGGATGCAGTGCATGGGAGAGCAGGATCAGAGGAGTGGAGCCATCAGATCACAGAGGGGGATGATAGATTTGGGTGAGAGGAGGGTGGGAATGAATAGACATAAACCAGTGCAGGAATGAGCAACAGAAAACAGCAATTTTTGTGCTAAGTGAGCTTGTAAAAGAAGAAAGCTGTAAATAAAAGGAAAAAAATTCTTATCAATGATATGCTTGATTGATTCTTCTTAGTAATAATTTACAACTTGGCTGAAGTAGCCTCCTTTGCATACATTAATAGCCAGTGTGGCCCAGACAAGGTGCAGGGTATGGTCTGGATCCGGGCAGCAGAGCTGTCGGGGCTGCGAGAGGCAGGGCTTGGCATCCTGCTCGGTGGTGGCACTAGATGGCACAGTCATCTCACCCTGCAGAAACCCTGGGCTGCAGACACTCCCTGCAGGACCTCGTGTGGCCCCAGCTGGGCAGGTTTCCCTGCCAGGTAGGACGAGGTGTAATTCAGCTTCTGCGAAAGGCAGGAGCAGCCTGAGCAGCCATCAAGCTTCCCTGGGTGGGTGGTGCTGAGTTCTGCTGGTAACCATTAGCAAGCTCTTGCCTTAAAATTACATTTTGAGAATTGTGGCAATTTTAAGAAATTGCAGGCTTAAACATTATGATAAGCAAAGCATTTGTCTCTTGTGATGGCAGGGCTTGTGCCTGCCAGGAAATGGGAAGCTGAGGTGGCTGTTGCTGGGGGAGGAAAGCTGAGGCTGCCCCTGGAGCACCAGTGCTCTGCTGGGCCAGGGGCTCTTCCTGCAGGCACTGGGACCTGGGCTGCCCCTCTGGCTTTGCCCTCTCCAGGTTCTGAGCCACAGCTCTGCTCCTCCTCCTCTCCTTGGACACCAAGGTCCTGACAAGCCTGGGTGGTAGGAATTAGGTGGATTCTAGTGTCAATATTGTTCTAACATCTACAGGGGAAAAGTTGCATCTCTTCTTTTTGCTAGAAGTGCCCAGGGGGTCCAACCTTTCTAGGTAACACAGTTTCTATCAGATGGCTCAGCTCCCTGTCAAGATGAGACCTAACACTGTCCAATGTGGGGGAATCCACCACTTCCCTTGGGAGGTTATTCCTATGTCTGTTCCCATGGTGACATATTTTCTTCTGGAGTCCAGTCAATCTCCCCAGGAGTAACTTGTGCCCATTATGCCTTGTCTTCTCCATGTGGCACCTTGTAAAAAGGGAATCTCCATCTATTAGCAGCCACCCTTGGAGGGCAGGGATAAAACAGAGCTGCTCCTGGGAGAGGCTTCTCCAAGTAGCCAATTGGCTGCCATGGGATTCCACTCCATGACTGGGACATGAAAAACCAGGGGCATTTTTCTGCTAATCTTAGATTTATTTCAAGTGGACAAAATCTCCCATGTGTCCCAGACAGGTCCAACAGCATCCCTGGGCAAAAGAAAAAGAGGTGAGAGGATCTGGGGATATTTTGTGGGGGTGATGAGGGCCTTGCTGGGACTGGAACAGCCCAGGTTTGTGTCTCAAACCCCAAATATTGGTATGTTGCTGTGGCTGGAGGTTCTCAGCAGGGCTTGGCAAGGCCTGGAGTGGTGGTTGGGAAAGCTGGACTGCTTGGGCAGGAGGTACCAAGCTTTGGTCTTCAGGAATAACCCCTGGAAAAGTGCCTGTGGAAGTGTGTATCTCCTGTTCCTTGACTGCATTTCCACTGTTCAAACTTGAACATTTGATGCTTTTAAGAGGTGTCACTGCCTGATGTTTCTCTCCCAAATTCTAACTCCGGGTTGACTGCAACTCTGATGCAAAGCCTATTGATGTTAATTAACATTTCCCAGTGTGGAAGGGATTAAGTCCCTGATGTGAGAGACGTGAAGAAGGATGAGCTGTAATTTCATCCTGGATATAGCTGTATGACTTGAAATGCTAATTATATCTCCTCTAACTTGCTGAGCTGTTTGCAGCAAATGGGGTATCAGCTGTTTCATTAAATGAAGAAACCTCATAAAATAACTTGGGATAGCAGCAACATCCCTGTCCTGTCGTTGTACTCAGAGTTTTCTGCAATGCTGAAGCTTTTCACAGCCTGAGGAGCTGGTTGTAAAATCATTCTGCTGCCCAATGTCCTCAGCAGGGGCAGTGCAGGAGCAGGAGAGGCAACTGCCTTCCCTCTCCACAGGTACTGGCACAGAGCAAATGTGGATTTACTAAAGACCTGCTGATTAGTTTGGATAAATTATAGAGCAAAGTAAGCATCCATTGATGCTCAAAAGTATTTGAAGGAGGTGGGATTTTGATATTGATTTCTCCACAGCTACAGTGTAGCCAGCTCCAGGCACTTAAACTCCTGAGTCAAATCTAAAACCCCTTGAAACTGCCTTGAATTGTGAAATGCTAATCACTTGGGGTTCTGTTTGTGTTTGCTGCCTGGGTGGTTGGGCCTCCTGGCTGTGCTGGGTTGGTGTTTTTAAGGGTTTTGCAGGAGGGGGAGGCAGTGCTGAGCTCCTGTGCTCCAGCCCCCACCTGCCCCTTCCTCTGGGGTGCTGCTGGCTCTGCTGCTGTGTGACCACCTGCAGAAATGGGAAGTCCCACCTCTGGCTCATGGCTGCTGTTCTAACTGTGCTGTGGAGTCCCTTGGAATGGGTTGTGGCTGCTTCCCACCCAGCTTGGTTGCACCCTGTAGGTACATGGTACCATCTATGCTAGGTTATACTTGGGAATATTTAATGACCTTTGTAATGTGCTGCCACTGGTCATGCTGAAAAATGTCCTTGGTGATGAATTAGGGGAGTGCTGTGAATGTCATGAAGACCTGGGGTGTGTCTTAAACCTCAAAACCTCAGAATATCTGTGTCTCTTTCACCCCATGCATGTTGCTTTGAGAAGTTGTTAGAATAATTTTACCTTCTAACACCTGTTGGAGTAGAAGACTTGAAAATGATGTTTCTCAACAGTCTTAGGCCCTTCTCTGATGGAGATCTGAGCATGAACAGTTTGACATGTGGGGTTTTCCAGCTAAGAGTGAAATTCTGAACAGATTCTCAGAGCAATAGGAGAAGAAGATGAAGCCTGTAGTGGTTGTTAAGATGGGGCACAGTGAGCTTGTACATGGGATTTAATAGCATAGTGTCCTTTGAGAGGATTGGTTTTAATTACCTAAATGACCCAGGCCCTCCTAGAAGAAACTAATTAAGGGATTTCTAGTCAAGTGTGCTAGACATAAGGTTAACAATTGCCAATGTATTGATTTTGATAGCTCAAGTGTGGAGGAAACTTAGTGTTTTGCAAATGTGTAGAGCAACATTGTCTTGAAGCATCCTGGGGAGGGGACCTTCTGGGCATGGTTGTGTGTGGGAGTTGGATGGCTGACGAGTTGAATCCCAGCTCCTGTGATGGACAGGCTGGGTGCCCCTTTTCCAGGCTGCTGTGGGGTTTGGAGTCACCTGAACTACCTCAAACTGCCCAGGCTGGGGGGTGCAAACTGGCTTTAGCCACAGCGGGCTTGGCGAGGTACGTGAACCCACCCCAACCTGGGTGTCCCAGCCAGACACCTGGTGCTGCCCAAACAAGGTTTTCACAATTCATTCCAGTCTGCAGGGTGTTTTTTGTGTTTGGGGCAGGTCCTGATCACTCCTGTGACCAACAACAGGACTCGGGGAAATGGCAGAAAGCTGAATCAGGGGAGGTTTAGGTTGGATATCAGGAAAAGGTTTTTCACCCAGAGGGTGGTTGAGCACTGGAACCAGCTCCCCAGGACAGTGGTCACAGCACTGACCTGTCTGAGCTCAAGAAGCCTCTGGATGATGCTCTCAGGCCCATGGGGTGATTCTTGGGGTGCCCTACACAGGGACAGGAATTGGAGTTGATG